GGATAAATGTCCTAGGCAGGCTGCATGTGGCCCATGGTCCGTAGTTTGAGGACGCCTGTTTTAAGGACTCAAGTGATCTGTTAGGTAAGTTGATGACCTGCAGGTGTGGCTTAACGTTTGCATTGCATAGCCTTGGGTCTGCTCATGAGTTACAAAGGATATACCCAAGATGGGTGGGTACATGGCAAGGCAGGTCTGACCTCCCTTCTCATGGCTGGCAACACATCTTTAGGGTATTTCTGGGGTCCCATTGGCCAAGAGGGGCTCTATTTAGTCAGCTGAGGGGCTTAAGATTTTATTTCAGTTCACGAATCAACAGATGAATAAAGAAATTGTGGTACATTTACACATATATCATATAGCCACAAAAAGAACAAAACCCTGCTGTTTGCAACAGCCTGGATGGAACTTAACATTACATTAAGTGAAACAGGCCAAGCACAGAAAGACAAAGTCATGTGTTCTCACTAATATGTGAGAGCTAAATGTTAAAAACAATTGATCTCATGGAGACAGAGTAGAACTATCATTACCAGAGGCTGCAAAGGGTACTAAGGGGCAGGAGGGATAAAGTGGAGATGATTAATGGGTTCAAAAATATAGTTAGATACTTAGCTAGAATGAAAGCTATTTGACAGCACAACAAAGTGGCTATAATTGACAATAAATTAGGGTATATATTAAAATAACTAAAAGAATGAATTGGATGTTCCTAATACAAAGAAATGTTAAATACCTAAAGTGATACCCCAATTATCCTGATTTGATTCATTCACATTGTAAGCCTGTATCAAAATGTCACTTGTACCCTACACACATATATAGCTATTATGTGCCCATAATTATTCAGAAAGAAAGAAAAGGCATGGACATTTTCCCTCCAGGTGCCGGGCTTAGAACCCTGAGACCTTGCACCTGAAGTTCTCAAGTGATAAATGCAATTTCACAGTAGCTCCACTAAAAATAATTGGGGGAACATTTTCAGAATTAAAACAAGAATTACCAAGTCTGACTAGTTGATGATAGTGTTGGCTCCATTGTCCCCCTCCTTTTTTGCTGTTCATTGAGTTGTTGGAATTATTATGCAGAAGTGATAGGGGTTTATAACAAGTGAAAAGAAATTAGCAAATGAAGGAAAATCACATGAAGGGTGAGTCCACAACTAACTGGAAATTGGAGTTTAACAGGTACTTTTCCCAGCTTTGCCTTTTAAGAAAAGGGAGGGAGTTGCATGATCTTGGGGTGCCAGGCACGTGAAGAGGGATGTATGTGCTTTGATGGGCAGGCAGGACACCCTGGGTGACCCACAGGGTCTGGGGTCCTCTGACCATCTGTAGCTCTCAACCAGAGAACACAGATGGCAGGTGCTAGGCAGGATAAGCCTATTTATCTGACAAGAAGCCCTGGGGGGGGGGGCACAGGTCACCAGTACCCGGAGGTTGATCTGTCTGTCCTGGCCCCAGCATCTTAGAGTGGTGCCTGAGCAAGGTAGGTCCTCCATGTGGAATCAACATTCAGGATTGCTTTCCGTGTGGCACTGGAGACTCTCTGTGGCTGGAGTCCGCCAGCATTGTTTTGGTGCTGAACTCCCAGCAAACTTTTTGCTAAATAAAGGTGAAATTTCTAAGTGATCAGGAAATGGCCATTGTTCACTCATACTGAAAAACTTTTTTTTTTTTTCGGCCAGGGCTGAGTTCAAACCCAACGCCTCTGGCATATGGGACCGGTGCCCTACCCTTTTGAGCCACAGGCACCGTCCCATACTGAAAAACTTAAATCTGTGCCTTTCCTTAGAGGGTCCCTGGTGCAGGGTTGTGGGGGGTGTCTTGATGGCACCAAATAAATGTGACCTGATCCCAGGGTTCCCAAATGGTAGGGTGAGGAACCAGGGTCAGATTATGCAAAGGGGGCTTAGAGGGGTCTGAGAAGGCAACATTTTAAGTAAGAATATGTCAAAAGTGATCTGGTGACAAAGCCAGGTGACATAATGGATTACTTTGGATTTTTTTCTTTCATCTGTAAAAATAAGTTGCCTAGATCTCATAAACATCTACATTTCCTTTGTGTTGAAGCTTACATACTGTTTTCTCTTCTAGAAAAAAATATATAGTCTTTAGTCATTTTTTTCTTTTTCCTGTATCTCTGTTTCCCTCTTCAAAGTAGCAAAAAAAATTTTTTTTCTTTTTATTAAGTCATATACACATAGATCATGAATACATTTATGCATTTGTGGGGTACAATGTGTTGATTTTTTATACAATTTGAAATGCTTACATCAAACTAGTATAGCTTTCACTTCATTTATTTATTGTGTTAAGACATTTATGTTCTATACTTGATAGATTTGACTTATACCCTTGAAATATGCTCCATAGGTATGTTCTTACTGTTTACCCTCCCTTTATTAAACCTCCCCTCTCACGTCCCATCCCCTGCCTCTTCTCTCCTTCATCCTGGGCTATAGTTGTGATCTATCATTCATAAGAAAGTGTAATTATAAATTGGTTTCATAAAAATACCAAGTACATTGGATACTTTTTCTTCCATTCTTGAGATACTTTACTAAGAAGAATATGTTCCAGCTCCATCCATGTAAACATAAAAGAGGTAAAGTCTCCATCTTTTTAAAGGCTGCATGATATTCCATGGTGTACATATGCCACAATTTATTAATCCATTCATGGGTTGATGGGCACTTGGGCTTCTTCCATGACTTGGCAATTATGAATTGAGCTGCAATGAACAATCTAGTGCAGATAGCTTTGTTGCAAAGTGATTTTTGGTCTTTTGGACCTAGTAGAGGAATTGCAGGATCAAATGGCAGGTCTACTTTTAGATCCTTGAGTGTTCTACAAACTTCTTTCCAAAAGGAATGTATTACCTTGCATTCCCACCAGCAGTGCAGAAGTGTTCCCTTTTCTCCACATCCACCCCAACATTTGTAGTTTTGGGATTTTGTTATGTGGGCTATTCTTACTGGAGTTAGATGATCTCAAACTGGTTTTGATGATTAAAGATGATGAGCATTTTTTCATGTGTCTATAGACCATGTGCCTGTCTTCTTCAGAGAAGCTTCTGTTCAAGTCTCTTGCCCACAATGAAATGGGATCACTTGTTCTTTTCTTATTAATAAATTGGAGTTCTCTGTGGATTGTGGTTATCAAACCCTTGTCAGAAACATAACCTGCAAATATTCTCTCCCATTCTGAGGGCTTTCTACTTGCTTTACTTACTGTGTTCTTGGCAGTGCAGAAGCTTTTTAGTTTGATCAAATCCCAGTAATGTATTTTTGGTATTGCTTCAGTTTCCGGGGTTTGGGGGGGGAGTCCTCCTCATAAAGTATTCTCCCAGACCAATTTCTTCAAGTGTTTCTATAGGGGACACCAAGAGCCAGATGACATCTGAGCAAGATGGTCTGCAGCTGAGGGGTGGACCGCAGGCAGGTGCTCCTTGTGGAAGAAGAGCCCAAGCCTTCAGCACATAGTCATTTGTTAATTACTCCCCTCACCTGTGTTGTATGGTCTCAATAAAAGGCTGATGCGGAGGTTGCTTGGGGGCTACCCTGCAAGTAAGGGCTAGCCTGTCTCCCACAAGCTTGTACTTCTAATCCACGTTATACCTGGTTCCTTCTTGCGGGGATCGAGACCAGGGCCTTAGGAGCCTGATGAGTCGTGACATGTTTCCTCTCACTCTCTC